TTTTGGTTCAGTTTCTTTCTTCCTCTCTCTTTTGGGACAGTAAAAGAGAGAGGAAGAAAGAAACTGAACCAAAAGCAAAAATGTTATAATCTGTCTCCAACAGAAACTCATCCTGTATTTGCAGTCTTTTCTTCATCAGATAGAAAGCAGACATTACTTATTAAATGACCACTGGCTTACCTGAAGGGTCCTTTTCCAACCCCACCCTGGGGTTACCTCACTTCCATCGGTTTTGTTCTTTTCGTCTGTGGACGTTTGGGACGGATGGAACATTGACATTGACTTACCTTTCACGGGACCATACCTTCATTGAAAAACTGAATGTACAGAGAGACCAGGAGGCAGAAATTTCAGTCCAAGGACAGAATTTAACCCTTGCTTGGACTCTCCCGCAGCGCACAAAAAAGGACCCTTCAGGTAAGCCAATGGTCATTTGCCTTCTGTAAATAAGTAGTGTCTGCTTTCTATCTGATGAAGAAAAGACTGCAAATACAGGATGAGTTTCTGTTGGAGACAGATTATAACATTTTTGCTTTTGGTTCAGTTTCTTTCTTCCTCTCTCTTTTACTGTCCCACCTCCTAATCTTTCCCAAACAGCCGCAGCTGGGGAACCTGTTGCAGGTGAACCGGACCTTGGGCCGCAATGTACCTCTTACTTCCCAGCTCATCTTGATGCCAAACGGGGCTGTGGCTGCTGTTCAGCAGGAATCACCTTCCACGCATGCTCCTGGGGTCCACACAGACACAGACCAGGTCAGTGACACCCGGGCCAAACTGGCAGCAGCCCACCTCTGTAATGGCCCATTTTGGACCCAGGAGAGATTGGGCAGTTTTCCTTCAGATCGAACAAGAGTGCCTTTCAGGACCCTGTGCCCTTTGAAGCCTACAGTAATGGCTTATTCTTTTTCCTTATGTTTTCCAGGTGCAGAATTTGGCTGTCAGGAGCCAGCAGACTTCAGTAGCTAATGCATCACTCCAAGCTTCTACTCCGAAGGCTACTTTGCCAGGGAATTCCCAGTCCTCAGTACTACCCCAAGCTGCCCATGCTGGCCAGACTTTGACAGTAACACAAGCATCTTCTGGCAATGTAGGCCAGTCACTCAATCTCAGCCAAGGTGCAGCAGGAAGTAATGGCATTTCCGGAGGCATGGCCTCATCAGTAGGGAGTCATGCTACCACCGGGCTGAACCAGTCAACTTCATCTGGCCCAGGATCCAACTACCAAAGGAAAGGCACTGGTGTAGTTCAGCCTTTACCAGTATCTTCTGCTCCCCAGGCAGTGACTGTGAGCCAAGGAAGTCAGACAGAGGCAGACAGCGTGGCAGCAAAGAAGGCTGAAGGTGATGGCAATGGGCAACAGACTGTGGGCATGAATCTGACCAGGACAGCTACACCAGCCCCAAGCCAAACTTTGATCAGCTCTGGTATGTCGCATGTAATTCTTTTCCTTGTGGGAAGTCTGCAAATGCCTTCTTGAACCTTTTTGTATTCTTTGATAAGGTTCAGTGCTTTTATAATTGCTACAGGTCAAAGGAAAGCTAGACTTTAACTGGGTTAGCCAATTGGTACTACTCATTGCTGTGTTGGATTAGATAGAGGAAAACGTTCCATGATTCTTGTTCCTGGTCGAGAGAGCTGTGTTTTGTCACACTGTCTTCATTCTCAACAAGTGAGATATTGAACAGGCAAAATTGTTTTCTGCAAGCATGAGAAATCTTACACGGGGGCAACTTGTCCTTCTCTATCGGTGATACCAAGGATTAGACATACATAGTTCCTGTACAAAAAGCAATGTTGCTCAACCTTGGAAACGTTAAGATGTGTGGATCTCATCATATGGGTGCCTAAAGAATTCCGACAGTTGAAGTCTTAAAAATGCCAAGGGTGAGAAATACTGGCATCGGGGAAAAAATGCTCCCATTTTCCTGTAGAGTCGAGGGAGGGGTTACAGGTGGGTATAGTCACCGCCTGATTGGTCCATAGACTGAGGGAATTTCTTAAATATTCCACCATTCCCTATTGGCTCCCAGTTTCCTCTCAGTCTTTTGGTCCAAGCACTGCTTTGGCTCCTAGGTAGGAAATATTTAAAATTCATAAAAAATTCATTGGGTATCAATTTGACTAATTGGTTATTTTAAAACGTTCAAAATTCTAAATCTCTGCGCTGCGGCCATTTTACCTGCCATGTGGAAGCAGCCATTTCCCGACGCCTCATGGTCTACCGCTTCAGAACGGATTGTGGCAATCGATAGTGGTTGAAGATCGCTCCCTGGGTCTGATCCACCCCTGGGTCAAGCACCGGCTGAATCGCAACTGGCCAAGTTCTCTGCAGAGCACATTAGTAATTGCCATGGCTGCAGCCAGGCCTGATCTTCCACAGGCCTCCTCTGAGACACAAAGCCACAATAGAGAAGGGGAATACGATAGGCCCAGGACCAGGGCCACGGCTGCCAAGCCTTCAGCTGAACAACACCCCTCCAGAGCCACGACTAGAGACAAATTGAGAAGACAAAGGGCTCAGGAGAAGACCATTGCTAGGGTGGAGAAACAGGCCCAGGGCACCAGGCCACCTTCTCCCAATAGATCCAGGTCTCCCATCAGGCCAGCCTCTCTCCAATCTGA